AATTACGATCGTTTTTTCGAGCGTGCGAAGGAAAGCAGGCTGCAGAGCGGGGGAGAGCATTATCAGTTATAGCGAGAGCTTGCTAGAGATCGATTGGACGAATGAAAGGAGAGAGATACTTGACGCAGTGAGATGCTTCGACTTTTCTATTTCTACGCGACTTCGCTTCCGTATTCCTTTCTCTTAGCGATCCGAAGATTTACTTGGCGTTTTGTAAAGTGACATTTTTCGGGAATTTAGGGAGAGATCGTTACGAAAATTTGAATGAAATACACGGCAGAGTAGGAATGCGTTGCGGTTCTCTAGAAGTACATCGTGCCGGTATCTTTCGCGATGCTAATGGCGTAGTTCGTGCCCGCAAAGATCTGTACGATTATTGGAGGACGTTAACATTAAAGGGATCCAACAGCTGGACAATTTCGTTGAACGCAAAAGTGAATAAAATTGATGGCAGGTCCACCGGAATTTGCGCGGATATTTAAATTGAAAAAAAAACAATTGGTACGGCGAAGAATTGCTTTCGGTGACGCTACGGCATTACTCGCGAAAGATCTAACATGTGCCATAAGAATACAAATTAATAATAATAAATACACGAACCATGTCGTTCTACGCTGCTGTGCGTATTTTATTGCGGTCAGCTCATGCTGTGAGTAAGCAATAATTAATAGCAAGTATTTAATCAGTTCGAACGAGGAAATCAATCGGACCTTCAGCTAATAACGCTTGGTATGTACGAATATCTCGAGCTATCGTACGACATCTCGGAGATGCAGTTGCACCTCGTTAGGCGTCATTCTTTATACCGGGTGAAAAATTAGTAGCCGTACGCGTTCTGGCCGAAGGGACACACACACTCGTGCTCTTCGAGATCTAACTTCTTCTCGTTTTGCAATTTACGTAGCGATTTGCAATTCGATATATTTTACTAACGGGATAACTAGGCGTACAAATCTAGTTGGAGGAACTGCATGCGATTAGGGAAAACAATTAGCGCGGGCCGCGAATGTGCAAGCCGCATACCTATATAAATATATATATATATAAATATATAAATAAATTCGAATCGAGGTCACACTTCTTTTTCTAACGGGGTCGTCGTTTCTTTTTAAAACCGATTCGATCCTAGCCTGGCTATATTATATATATTTAGGGAATTAACCGGCCGACTATACTTTTATAAAGTGTACGAGAAGTATTTCACGCGCGTATTTAGACATCGGCACCTTTAAAATATACTTGCCATAACGAATGCCTTAGCAAAATGTTACTGTATAATTGAGATACCACGGGGGAGACGGTATATAACTATATAATAAGTGAACATGTCATACGCATCGACACACGCAGACACACGCGCGTACATACACACGGCGTAAGCGGCGCCAACAATACCGGACACACAATAGGCAAATGAGTCAAAAAGCCAATGCACATCAAAGAAAACATAAGTAGAGACTAGTACCTACATTCACCGCGTGCACGCATAAGATATACCGTGATCGCGATCG